GATCTTGGTCATGAGGAGGAATTACTGAAGGACACAGAGAAGTTGGGGCTAGTACTCTAGGTGGAAAACCAGGTGTAGGTTTCAGAAGTGAAGTAAAGTGGCAGTCAGCTGTTACTGATAGAAAACTCAGGTGAAGATTGATAACTAATACCAGATGATCTACTTGGCCTATTAGTGTTTATAAATCCCTCAACTCGCTCTACCAAAACTTACACAAACTTACTTTTTTTTTTCTTTCACTGCCCCCCTCCTCAGTCAGCATTTCTACTTCTTTGCCTTGCCAAACAGAAACCACGAAAGCTTTCACCACCTGTTCCCTGGATTGAAGCAACAAAGACCCAAATGCTAACAGTCTAATGCAGACACTTCTTTATAAAGGGAGAAGATTTAGATAGAAAGAGAAGGCTGTGAATTTTGATAACTATATATTTCTTTAAAATATTTTTTTGTGTGTATTTGTGGACTAAAAATAAGACCGCTCAAATGCGCCAGCTATCAAAGAAATAAAGATTAAAAATAAACTGGCCACCATTTTTTTTTCAAATCAAATTGACATTTTAAAAAGCATATCCCGTATGGGCAGGACTGAGCAGACATACCACTGGCGGAAGTGTTAATTGGTAAAACTTTTTCTAGAGGGCAATTTGGCAATATATAAGAATAACATTTTATAAGTTCCTTCTTCACACCTTTTGGTCCAATATTTCTGCTTTTAGCAATTTTTCATAAGGAAATAATCAGAAAATACACCAAGATTTTAACAAAAGGGTGCTCACTTTAGTGTTGTTTCTCACATAACTTAAAATATAAAACTCTGTAAGGCTCTATATTGTTTTAGAATATCAAAATGACACATTTGTGCTGTTTCTTAGAGGATTTATAGGATTAAAATGGTGATTAAAATAATGTACTATCCAACATTGGAGCTTGAGTCAATAAATTATAAGGTAGTCACAAGAGAAATACTTTGCAGTAAAAATATGTTAAGGAAATACAAATATGTCCACAAAGTATTATCACAGTAAAACAAAAACCAAGCCCTAAAATGGTACTTACAATTATGATTCTTTTTGTAAAAGTACAAAATAGAAAAATTGGAAGTGTATCAACAAATTTCCTAACAGTACTTATTGCCATACATGCTGAGCTTACTGGAGTTTTTGCTCATTCAAAAATATTTATGAATGGCCTACTGTGTGGCCAGCACTGCTGTGGGTGCCTGGGACACACCATTGAAAACCAGCAGAACCCCTCCCCTTGAGGTGTTTATGTCAATCAGGAGGGATACAGATAATAGATAAGAACAAACAAAGGAATTATATAACTTTTGGAGGCAATAAATGCTAGAGGAAAAACACAGAAAGAAAAAGAGGGGTGGGACTGGTATCATTACAATTTTGTAATTTTTGTTGTTGCCAGAGGGCACATTCCAGTGAAAGAGAGAGGAACCACCCTCCAACAGGACATGGCTGTACTACAATCTTTTCCCCTCTCTTCTTCCTGTCAGGATTTTGGACATGCACACACATGCAACTGACATGTTTTTTAAGCCACTAGGGTGAGGATTCAAGCCACTGTTGACCACATGAGATCCATCTCCTAATGTACCACTTTTTTTTTTTTTAAACCATAGGGCACATGCGCTCACCAGGGAGAGACAGAGAGAAATCATTCCCCCAGGGGAAAGGCCATGTTGCAATGCCTTCTCCTTCATTCTCCTCTTGGGATTTTGGGCATGCATGCATATACAGCCAGTGCATTTTCAGGCTGCTATGTCTAGGACTTGAACTGAGGAGTCAGCCATGTGGAATCAAGTGCCTTAACCTCCATACCACCTGTTGGCCCTGTATAGTTCTTAATCACTGTGCTAGGACTGGCCTGCAATTTTAAGTAGAATAGTCAGAGTAGGACTCACTAAGAAGATGTAATTTCACAGAGTTGAAGAAATTAACCATATAAACATTAAGGAAAAAGTATAAATGGTTTTCAATTTGCAATGAGATTATATCCCCAAAAACCTATTGTAAGTTACAAATACTATAAGTTGAAAATGCATTTCATACCTAACCTACCAACCATCATAGCTTAGCTTACTTTAAACATGCTGAGAACACTTACATTAGCCTGCAGTCAGGCAAAATCATCTAACACAATTTTTCAGTTTTTCAAAATACATGATAGGGTGCATTTGAGCATGCCTGAGAGGGAGGGAGGGATGGCATGAGATGGGGGAGAGAGAGAGAGAGAAGGAGAGAGACAGAGACATCGTCCACAAGGCTTAGTCAGAATGCGATCTCTTTCTTCCAGTCCTCTATCCTGCCAGGATTCTAGGCATGTATACACATGTTCAATGTCATTTCAAGCTGACTCAGCCAAGGTTTTGAACCACAGCTGGCCTGTGGCTTCTAAGTGCAGTCCAGCACACCAGATGTGTTGAATAGCTCATGTAATTTATTGACTACCATATTGAAAGTGAAAGCAGAATACAATCATTATTTTAAGCCAAAGACATTCATAATTTTGTTTTTCCTTTAAATGGCAGTCTGCATCATCATAAAATCTAAGAATAACAACTCAAATAATTATAAAGTAGGGGCTGTGTGTATTGCAGGTAGGAGGAGCAGCAAATGCAAAGGCCCTGAGACAGAAGCATATCTGATGTGTCTGAGGATCAGTTAAGGAGGCCTGTGTAGCTTGAACTGAATGACCAAGGTACTAGAAAATGAGGTAAGAGAGGACCCAGCAGTTAGTGTAATAGCTATGTCGCTGGACTCCCATGTAGTCAACCGTGGTTTGAGTCCCAGACCCAGTGGTTTAAACTCACACCGGGCGCATGTGCATGAGTGCCCAAGATCCCAAGAGGAGAATGGAGGAGAAAGGATTGTGGTGTGGCCATCCTCCCTGGGGGGTGATTTCTCACTTTCTGTCTCTCTGTCTCTCCCTCTCTGTCTTTCTGGGGAGCTCATGTGCCCTATAGCAAAAACCTTCCCACTCCCCCCCCCAAAAAACAATACTGAGATAAGAGAATAACAAGAACCCAGGCTGGGCAGGTCCTACTGTCAGGCTCATAGGCTTAAGGAGACAAGTAACAGCCAGGGAAGGGTTTGTTGAGAAAGTGACCAGCAAGACAGAAAAACAATCAAGAGAACCTAGGAGGCATAAGAGTGTTCAAACACTGCCAGTAAATTAAGTAAGTTGAAAATTGAGTGTTGATCACCGGATTTAGCAATGTGGACATGGGGCACTGCTAACTTTGATGTGAGCAGGTTTGGAGGAGAATTAGGTGAGAAACTAAAGAGGAGTTGGAGACTCAAAATTCCTTTGGAGGAATTTTGCCATAAGGAGCTAAGAAAGATGGGTGTGGTAGACTGGGTAAGTTAGGAATAGAGAAGGTTGAGTTTTGCTTTGTTTTTCTCCCGTAGATGGCATAAACAGCAGCATATTGGATGTTGATGGTGACACTAACCAATCAGCCTTGATCAGCAATGTCTTAAAGGCGATTTCCTGCCAGAGATGACATGTTCGGGAGGTTACATATAAACTGCTTGAACAACAGACCTTTAGTTCATTGGTTTATCTACTCTGCTGCCCCAAATTCCTAACTCTCAGCCTCTCCACTGGCTCCAGAGGTCACATTTAAAATATAACCACGTAAGGTCAGCATAACTATGCAGAGCAGTGATCGCTGTCAAAGCAAGCATTCCTACCTCATGTACATATATGAGGGGACTTCAAAGAGCTCATGGGAAGTAGAATTAAAGCACAAGTTTATTTTGGTAAAAAATAAAATCCTAGGGACCAGCAGATGGCATAATGGTTACATCACCAGACTCACACCTGGCTGACTATGGTTCAAGTCCCAGGCTGGGAACGTGTGCATGCATGCCCAAAATCCCTGCTAGGGGGTGATTTCTCACTTTCTGTCTGTCTCTGTCTCTCTGGCAAACACACATGCACTATAGCAAAAATCTCTCTCAAGAAAAAAATATATTCTGGGGCCAGCAGTTAGTGTAATGGCTATGTCACGGGACTCCCCATGTAATTGACCGCAGTTCGCATCCCGGATCCGGTGGCTTAAAACTCACGCCTGGAGCATGTGTGTGTACATGCCCAAGATCCCTAGAGAATAATGGAGGAGAAGGTTGGTGGCGTAGCTATCCCCCCTGGGGGGGTGATTTCTCGCTTTCTATCTCTCTGTCTCTCTCTGTCTGTCTGGAGAGTATATGCGCCCTATGGTAAAAACCTCTTAAAAAAAAAAAAGGAAGAAAAGAAAAAAATATATTCTGAAATTCATGCACACTTTTTTTTTCATAATGTACATTTTTCATGATATTTTTGAAGACCTCTCATACACCAAGAAACCATTCATTTCCATTGGAAAGTTTGTGGCTTAGAATATCAGAATTAAAGATTAAGCAAAATCACAAAACCTATGAATTTGTGGTTTAAAAATGTCCATTTTCCCTGGGCTGGTCTGAGGTGTATATCATGCTGGGTAAAGTCTCTACAATCTAAATGGTGTACAGTGATTGAATGTATAAATAATAATAATTTTTTTAAAAAGAAAGCCTCCAGGTATGAGACTCAAACCATGGTCAGCCATGTGGGAGTCCAGAACCTTAACTACCATGCCTCCTGCTGGCCCCAGTGATGTATTACAACAAAACAATAATGCCATCTGCTGGTCTCACAACACAGACTTTTGAATGTTTGGTATTGCATAAGCAACTTCCTGATTTGTCTATACCTCATCTGTGAGTAATGATGACTCTTAACTGGGAGTCATTTTGTCCCCTAAGCTATGTGGTAGTATCTGGAGACATTGTTGGTTGTCATGGCTCTGGATGGGGTGCTCTTGGCATCTAGTAGGCAGAGGCCAGAGATGCTGCCAAACATCTGACAGTATACAGGACAGCCCCACACATTATCTGACCTAAAACATCCATAGTTATAAACTCTCACCTATTCTGAAGGAAAAGGAATGAAAGAAGAGAACATACCAAAAGTTGGCCCTGGAGTAGAGTTCCATGTAGAGCTGTTCATCAGAAAAGGGAGCCAAGTGGATGTCACCAAATGTCGGGAACATCATTCCTAATGACAAAAGACAACAGACACAGAGGTTTGCTTCCAGGGCCTTCTGATCAAAAAGTACACTCACCTACCACCTGAGATCCATTCCATTCTCTATTTCAGTGATTATGTAATGGGATATTTAATTTTGTCTCAAAGCAAGGAGAAAAATGATCAGGGCCCAACCTCAGCTGTGTGTGCTAGTTAATGCCATTACCTGGCAGACCAAGGCCACATGGGAGGCCTGGGTTCAATCCATGATCCACCCATGTGGCATGCATCTGTAGCTCCAGCTACTTGGGTAGCCAACACAGGAGGATGGAAACCTAATGAGATCCTCTCTAAAAGAAAATAAGCAGCAGATTTGAGGGGATATAGAAAACAGCAAAGCAACACACAGCTATGTGTGATAAGTTTAGAGTCTTGGGTGAGGTGTGGACCTTGGCATAACTGCCTCCTCAGCGACTAGGCTTTTTCTCTAGCTGTATGTTCTTTGCTTGGAATTCTGGGCACTTTATTTATTTATTTCCTATTGTTGTAAAAACAACTTAGCTTTAAAAATAATCAAAATCCCATCTTCCCATCACACTGTTTTCATTTTCAGACTTTGTCTCAGTATAATCAGACAGACTGCTTTTTTAAGTACCATTGGGACTGCTGCTGGTGTGAATGCTCACCATTCCCCATGCTGGGAAGGACAACATTGTGCTTCATTCTGGGACCTACGGGAACAAATGAGCACCTAGACTGCGTGCCTGAAGCTGTGCCTTTCTGACCTGGTGGATCTCATGAGCAGCATTATTATTCTTGTAATTTTAATGGGAAATGTCTTGTATAGCCATTTATTAAATTGCACATGAAAGACATAGGAACTGTTAACTCTGTATGAGAAAGGAGGGTAGCCCAGAGAACCAGAGATGCTGTCATAAGATAACAATAATCATAGCTAAATTTTCTTTCTTTCTTTCTTTGTTTCTTTGTTGTTTTTTTTTTTTTTTTGGAGAGGTTTTGCTATAGGGCACGTGCACTCACCAGAAAGACAGAGACAGAGAGATAGAAAGTGAAAAATAATCACCCCCCTCCAGGGAGGATGGCCACACCGCAATCCCTTCTGCTCCATTTTCCTCTTGGGATCTTGGGCATGCACACATATGCACCCAGCCTGAGTTTAAGCCACCGGGTCCAGGACTCGAACCCTGGTCGACTACATGGGAGTCCAGTGACATAGCCATTATTCTAACTACTGGTCCCTAAAATGTCTTGATTATGCTAACTCTGCCATGTACTTTTCTATAGACTTCCCATGTACTAATTAATTTAATCCTCATAACAATATAAAGCATGTCTTATTTTTATCCCCATTTATAAGTGATGAAGCTAAGGAACAGAGAGATTTAAGTGACTTAGTGAAGACGACAGACTAATAAGTGGAAAAGCAAAATACAGGGAGTGGGATTTCATCTCACAGTCAGTGCCCCATACTTGATGTACTGCCCTCCAAGTCTGTCCAGACAAAACTGATCTTTTATTTAGCGTATTTTCAGAGGTGGCCAGAGAGAAAGTACAACCATAACATCATTTTCATGTCCCCATCCAGATCTTATGTGCTGGTAACAAAACAATGATGATTGCTTGGTGATTTTTCAATTTCAAGATAGAAAGGTATTAACCTTAGTTAAGTAATATGCATTACTACTTGTATAAACTTCATGCTATAGTTTGAATATGTCCTCCCACAAAATCATACCCTGAGCCATTGTTACTGGATTAGAAGGGTAAACACTTGATCTAATTATTCTGTTGATGGAAGAGACTAGGATTAAAGTCACTGGGGTAGGGTCCCAGTGATTGAGTTGTTTATTTAACAGAAAATCTTTAATTTTATCAAAAGGAAAAATGAGATACAGTCTGGTACTTTAGATGACTCATTCCACATATATAACATGACAGAGGCCATAATTCAGAAATTTATCCAGTGAACACATTTTTATCAAGTACCTACTACGTAACTAGACACTGATCCCAGTGCTGATGACACAGCAGAAGATAAAACAGATAAAAATTCCTGCCCATACGGAGCTTCTAAAACTTATATTCTAGTAATATTAAGATAGGAAAACTAATCCTGGAAAAATATTGGTCAATTTATGAGACAGAGAACAATTCCTCTGAAGAGTATCAAAAGAGATTCCTTATTGCTTAAGTCAGAAACAATGAAGTCCCTAGGGGTGGGGGAATCACCCCCAAAGACAGGGTCCTGCTGAGCTCCCTGACCCATGCTTAAGCATGGCTCATTGTCTCTCCCTTCTGCAGTCTTAGGACTGGGAGGTTGACACACAGGGCTCTGCAGGAGGATACACAGGACATGGAAAAAGTCTATCCCCAAGTCAATGGTATTTCCAACCACAGAATAAAGTAAAGTTTCCAGTACATATTTGTTTCAAGAGTCAAGACAAATGTGAAAGAGTCTCTCAAATATGAAACTCAATAAAGAGGAAGCTATATAATTTGCAGATAAAAATATCAAATTATGAAACTAAAATGTAAAATATTACAGCATAATAGTTTAAGATATTAAAATATGAATGTATAAAAGCTTTATGCTTAGGAAAACATTTCATCCTGAGTCAAAAATATCATAAAATAAAAATTTATTGCAAGGTAATTTGGCAGTTTAAAATGTAGGTAATTTGATTTTAAATTTCCAGTGATTGAGTTCTGGTAGGTTTACAAGGAGAGAAGAAAGACACCAGAAACTCATGAACAGGTGCTTTGTTCTGGTTTTGCCCTTATGATATGGCCTGTGGACCTTGGACTTTCCAAGATGAGCTGAATAAATCTCTATTTTTATAAATCACAGTCTCAGGTATAGCAACACAACAGCGAACTGAGACTCTAGAGAAGATTTAGAGGGTGTTGTAAGCCTCAACCTCATAGGAATTCAAAGGATGTCAGATCAAATGGAAGAGAGAAAATTATCAAAGGTAAAATTTAAGAGAATCTCCAAGAACCAAAGAAAAGGAGTCTTCTGATTAAACATACGTGCTGAATGTCCATCACAAGAACTAAAAAAGATTCACACCAACAACATTAGAAATAAAAAGATACTGAAATATTATGTAAGAGGAAAAATGATGTCACATCAATGAATGAGGAGTTGGAATAGTATTGGGCTTCTCCATAGCAATATTGGAAGCCAGAGACTAACATACAAACAAAAAAGTCTTTAAAATATTGAGAAAAAATGTATATTAAATTTCTAACCCAAATGATAATATAAGACACAATAAAAAAAAACAACTTACCAATAACCCTATCTCCAGAAGGTGTTACAGAGTATCTTTTGCTGCAATGGTGGTGTAAACCAAGAAAGAAGACAAAAGAATGATGGCAGAAAGTCCAAGTACAGCCGCTATATAGCAAGGCTAGAGAGGAACCAGCTCTTGTTTGCTCAAGGAAGACAAGACTACAGAATAGAAAGAAGGAACAGAAGAAGTCTTCCACAGAATAAATGCAAAAAGTGTGTAGAAATGTACATTATGAAAAAACTATGCATGATTTCACATTTTTATACCAAAAATAAACTTGTACTTGAATTCCATCTTTCCATAAACCTTTTTCATTTATTTATTTTTATACTTTCCCACAAACATTTACTTTATGTATCAAAAAAAATTTTGCTCAAAAAATTTTTTTGCTCATAGGCCATAGTTTTTGACAGTTCATAAACAACTTTCACAATGTCAAAATACTGAATTTTAAAGATAATGTTCAAAATATTTCTTATAATTTTGTATAATATTGTTTGTGACTCCATAACAACAGAAACAGTATGGTTTTAAATATTTTTGAGAAAATATTTACATGTCAACTACTCAAATTGTTGAAAAGCAAATGCCCAGCACACTAGTCACACATAAACCTTCTCAGTTCAGCCCTACCTTCCAAGTATTCTGTGATCTACCATCTGTTAGCAAAGATCAGTCTCTTTTCCTTCCTTCAAAGTCTTTCTCAAGATAATCCTCTGGTGTGGTTGCTCTTTTGTAATCTCTACTGATTACAATGCTCAGCTGAAAAAGTCCAGGTTATTATCTGTTATAAATTATTTCATATATCCTCTCTAATCCTCTCTGCCAGGCAGTACTATTTATGGTACCAGGCCATCTTTCTAAGAGCTTCTGTTGGCTTACTTGAGATCTACCTTAGTTCCATAGTTTTCTGACTAATCTTCAGATATGACATTGCAGGCAAAGCCCTGTCCAATAATGAGTATTTCCACTTTCTGGTTCAAAGCAACAAGCATTATTAAACTTATGCAAATAACCCTTTTGCCACAAATAAGAATACTTCCAAATATTTCCAATTCAAGAGGGGTCAGGAAGGAAGAAAAGCTTATATTTCCATTTAAAGAAACAAATAAGAAAAATATTTTAACAAATTGCTGAACCTATCAACAACTCAAAAGAAAGTAAAATGTTTAAATTGGGGAAACAAAGTATAGTTAAAAAAAATCAGTCATGTTTTACTCAAAAGTCATAAAATTCTATTTCACCAGTTCAGCCTTGTGTTCATACTCCCTTCTGTTGAATAGGCAGTGTTGCTGTGGTCCAATCTTTCCGTTTAAATCCTGGACATTAACATTCAACGTTGTTATTGATATTTCTTGTCCCTAGCATTAAATTGGTTGTTTTCTTAGTTGTCTTTTATTCTCTTATTTCTGTATGTGTCTTTAGTTTTCCTGGTAGAGCACTCCTTTCAGAACTTCTTGCAACTCTGCTACTGGTAAATTCTTTCAGGTCTTGTTTATCTGAGAGTGCTTTTATCCTCTTTCCATATGAGAGATAATCTTGCTGGGTATAGTATTCTTGGTTGAAACTGTTTTTCACTTAATACTTTGAATATATGTTCCCATTCTTTCCTTGCTCACATTGTTTCCGATGAGAGGCCTGATGGGATAACCTTTATAAGTAACCTAATGTTTCTCTCGCCAGTTTTAGTATCTTGTCTTTGTCTATAGATTTGAGCAGTCTGGCTATGATGTGTCTTGGAAAAGATCTTCTTCGGTTGATTCTATTAAGGGTCCTTTGTATTTCTTGGGTCTGGATATTTGAATGCCTCTCTAGATTTGAAAAGTTATCTTCCAAGATTTCATGGACTAGATCATCGATGTCCTTATTAGTTTCCTCACCTTCTGGGATACCAATTATCCAGAAGTTTGGGCGCTTAATGCTGTCTAGTATTTCTTGTATAGTATTCTCATTTTGGGGGGTTATTTTTTCCATTTTTCCCCCCTAAATCAGAGGTTTTGCCTTCAATATCCAAGAGTCGATTTTATGCATGGACTAATCTGTTTTTAATACTTTCAAGGGAGGTTTTGATTTTGTGAAGGACAGCCTTCATCTCGAATAGCTCCATTTGATTCTTGTTTATGGTGTGTATTTCCTTTTTCAGATCATGAAACAACTTCAACACCTCCTGAAGCTCATTGTCTCTATTCTCCTGCATCTTCTGGAGTTCATTATCTCTCAGCTCTTGTGTCTCATTTATTTCTATCACTATAAATATTCTGAAGTCTCTATCAGACATTTTCATGAATTCTACTGTACTGTCTGTAGATAATGAGGGATTTTTTTTTTCCATTAGGTATTTTCCCAGAAAAATCTCTCCACAAACTTTTGAAGTCCCCTCATACTGATAGGCAACTGTCAGCTCTATTGGAGCACAGATGCTTATAGCCATGTGTGTAGAAAACTAGGCTAATGAAAAAAATAAGACTTCTAGCTCTAGGAAAAATAAAATTACACTAAAGAATGTACATCATCATAGAATACCTATTTTACCATCTGACTCAGCACCAAGAAATATTACATCATCATAATAAAAACATTACTACTGATGTCACCAGGTTATCACCTAGGTCCAGATTCCCTTATCCTAAGTTCTGGAATATGAAAAGTGATAAAAAGCAAGAGATTCTTGCAGGTTTATAACAAAATCACTTGATGACAGAACTTGACCTGAACACAATTCTATTTATAATCTAGATTTTGTCTACTTGTTCTCAATATTCATGCCTTATGGCAGAAATATAATGTGTTTCATTATGGGTGTTGCCTCAGATTCCACTGGGGGCATTAAGTAATGCATGGTACATGATTGTATTAGCTTTCTGAAATCCTCTAGGTTCTGAATTCTGAAACACATCTGTCCCCAAGGGTCTAGGTATGAGACCAAGGACCTGCATGGATTTAGTAAGAGGATGTGGCAGAGAGGGTGCATCAGAAAGGAGGTGGCTGCTATGTAGCTAAGTTCTCAAGCAGAGAGAAGTGAGATTTACTATAAAATCATTTCATTACAATGTTGGTATATAATAGAAGGAACAGCAAATAGAATTTACGATGTTGCCTTTGGGGAGCAGATTGAAGGTAGGAAAAAATGTGGCAAATTGGTATTATTTTCAGTTACAAGTGTCTTTATAATTATTTGGTATTTTAAACTATATCTTGTTTTGATAGAAAATAAAAATAATCTAGGAAAAAAACATCTATCCCTCCCCCCTTAGGGACACACAGGTTAGAAAGTCAATGCAAACCATTATTCATTTTTACTTGTCTAGTTAAAGATACACAGCCTGGTGTAAAATTTCATATACACTTCAAATATATGGAGTATTTACAAAATCCCCAGATATCACATCTAAATATTAAGTTTAAGAGGGGCTTAAAAGAGGCACATTAATTAACTATGTATCAAATGTCATCATACACAAGCACCTAAACCATCTGAAAAAAATATCTAGCAATAAAATACATAAAAATTCTTACTGGGGAGGGGACAGCCCACAGCATGAGCTAAGGCAGCTGGATCCTACATGGCCAACTGCACAGTTCAAGTCCCAGACTATGCAGCTCAAGAACCATGCCTGTGTATGCTCAAAATCTTAGCAGGAGGAAGAAATGAGAAAGGATTGTGGCGTGACTAGGATCCATGACGGGTGGATCTCACTTTCCAGGCGCACTTACTCACTTCCCACCCTGCCACATCTCTCTCTTGTGGGTGCATGTGCCCTCTGGCTAAAACTGAAAAAAAAAATTCTCCTTGGGGGCATTCAGGAGCATATTCATGTCATTTTGTTCTCTCACTTTCATCTCTCACAGTTCAGTTTTATCACATTCACACAAGCCTTCCAAGATCATTCTGAGCTGTTTCATAGCCAGATTGCTAGTAAAGTTCTTGATATTAGGTGTACTTTGCCTAGACTTCTTTATTCATTTTTACATGAGTTTCCCCAAACTCCATTTCTCTTATATTGTCAGAGGATTGGTGTGCTCACCAGACAGACAGTGGGAGAGGGAGAAGAAGGAAAAGAGAGAGAGGGAGTGAGCCCTCCATTGGGGCCCACAATCCCTTGTCCTCCATCACTTCTTCCCATCAGGATTTTGGGCATGCACACACAGGCCCAGTGAGTTTTCCAACCTGCAGGAGCTGGGATGTGAACCACAGTCAGCCATGAGTAGGCTAGCTCCCTTAACCACTGCTCTACAGGGCTAGCCCTATACTGCCTATTTCTGAATCCCTAAATTTTGAATAATATAGGAAATTAGAGATGAACTTCAAACTTATGTGCATGTTGGTAAGTATGAGTTGCACTGCTGTTCACTACTTTGTCTTCATTGGCTATCAAAGTAGGGAACCACAACATTGGTAGTTTAAAGTAAATAAAATTAGCATAAAGAATTGACATTCTTGAGACCAGCAGTTGGTGTAATGGCTATGTCGTTGGACTCCCATGTAGTCAACTACAGCTTGAGTCCCGTACCTGGTGACTTAAACTTATGCCAGGTGTGTCTGTGTGTGTGCCCAAGATCCGGAGAGGAGAACGGAGGAGAAGGAATTGCAGCGTGGCCATCCCCTTGGGGGGGGAGTGATTTCTCACTTTTTGTCTCTCTGTCTCCTGTTTCTTTCTGGCAAGTGCACATGTGACCTATAGCAAAAACATCTCAAAAAAAAAAAAAGAACTGACATTTTCACCACAGATGCAACTATTACCTTCTATGCCTTAGTTGTAAAAAACAAATCTTCTGTTGCAAAATGTCCAACTCTCTGGTGGAGTGACAATTAGCATGAGTGCAGAAGTCATCAGTATCATACAGACCTGGGTTCAAATCCCTACTTTGTCACTTAGTAATATATGTTCTTTTCCAAGTTCCTTTCCTCACTGAGTTTTTTTCTGTTTGTAAAATGGGGATCATAATGATGCCTCCTCCTAACCCGAGTCTCAAATACATATCTTTGTCATTTGGGCTGGGTAACTTTTTGCCATTGGAGACTGTCCTGTGTATTGAACAATGTTTAGCAGTATCCCTTCATTCTAGTCACTGCATGTCACTACCCCATCTGTCACTGGCATTGTGATCTGCAGATATCACTAAATGTCTCCTAGGCAAGGGTGCAAATTTTTTTTGAGGATCTCAGAGCTAATTCCTCAAATAAATGGAAAATCTCTATCATTCAGACTCTGTAAGGACTGTGTGAAATAATTCACGCACACTGCTAATCACATGCAGTCACTTATTAAGGAACAAAAAAGGTTGGATTTACTATTATCTCAGCTATACCTAGTGATCATAGAGAAGGAGAGAAATATAATAGGAAAAAATATATGTCAAGAAGAACAAGCAGACTCCAGAGTTTCTCATATTCTGCAAAGCTAATACTTGAAAAGGCTTTAGAGATGATTTATAATACTATACCACTATAGAGATGAGAAAACCCAAGCCAAAAGGTCAAGTATGGTTCAAGTACATTAAGGAAGAAAGTGGCAGAACCAGGACAAAACGCATAACTGACCCGGCCCTCTATACCGTACTGAATGAAGGCAAACTCCTGTATTCTTGTGGCTGAAGGCTAGCTAATTTGCTATAGAAAGGTAAGATGAAAAGAATTAAACAATGGAGTGTAATAGGAATGCTCTTTTTTCCTTTCTGTATAGAATCAAATGTGAGGAAAAGAGGGTAGACAACTGCTATGGAGAAGTTAGCCTGTGTCTAAACCAGGACTTGAAAAACTCACCATTTGATTTCAGCCATTTTTTGGAATAAAGGTAACTCTCCAGCATCCTCTCATTGAACAGCATGTATCCCATTGGTTCAGAAATGATGACATCCACAGCCTCGGGAAGTGAGATTGCTTCAATTTTTCCTGGCAAAACAATGATCTTGTCTGAAAGGTGGTTATTTTTCACTAGCAGCTGAAAAATATAAAATGGGGTATCAGTGCTGTTATTATTTAGAATCTTATGGGTATTGTGTTTTATAAATTAAGGGTTGAGAATGTGATAGGAAGGAGAAAGAAGCAACACATTTGTTTTTAGAAACATTTCTAAAGAAAAATAACATTTTTTCTTAGGGCACAAAAGTTGCATGTTTATTATAGATAATTTAGAAGAAGATAAAGAGATAAGAAATAAAGAACATCGGGACCAGCAGCTGGCATAATGGCTACGTTGCTGGACTCCCATATAGTCGGCCACGGTTCCAGTCCTGGACCAAGCGGCTTAAACTCATGCCGGGCGCATGTGTGTGCATGCCCAAGATCCCGAGAGGAGAACGGAGGAGAAGGGATTGCAGCGTGGCCATCCCCCCGGGGGATGATATCTCACTTTCTGTCTCTCTGTCTCTCTCTGTCTGTCTGGCGAGCGCACAGGCCCTACAGCAAAAAGAAAGAAAGAAAGAAAGAAAGAACATCTATATTCCTACTACATAGAAATTTGTATTAACATTAATATTAATCTTGCAGACTCTTTACACAAACACATACATGTGTATGTATGTGAGTGTGTATGATCTGTGTATGTGTGTGTATATAAATGCACATACATAGGGAGGTTTTTTTTTTTAAGGTTTTTGCCATAGGGTGTCTATGCTTGCTGGAGAGAAACCAAGAGCAGTAGTGACAGGGAAAGTGAGAAATCACCCATGAGGGGGGGTGGCCACACTATAATCCCTCTTTTCCATTCTCCTCCTAAATTTTGGGCACACATGCACATATACCCAGCATGATTTTCAACCTGCTGGGTCTGGGACTTGAACAGTAGTATTCCATGTGAGAGTCCAGTGCCATAACCACCATACAACCTGCTGACCTCTTCGGGATATGTTTATAAAAACTAATGACTTTGGTTTATTTTCCATTATGCTCACTAATCTTTCATTAGAAGTACATTTTTATAGTCATGTATCTATTTTCCTTGATGTCTTATATCATTTTTAAAGGATTATTTAATTTTATCATCATTATTATTGTTTTTAAATTTGCTACAGGGCACATATGCATACCAGAGAGAGAGGGAAAGTGAGAAAGAAAGCCTCCAGGTCTGGGACTCAAACCATCGTAAGTCATGTGGGAGTCCAACGCCTTAACCACCCTCCACCTGCTGGTCCCAGATGTCCTTCATATTCTTCATAAATCTGAACCCCTTTAAAAGAAAAATCTGAAGAAAAAGATATTATATTTTTGTATTTTAAAAAACTGTCAGAAGGCATGCATGCTTACCAGAGAGAGAGATGGGGAAAGAGAAAGCACCCCTAGTGGAGCATGGTCATGCCATAGTTCCTTCTCCACTTCTCCACCCTGTGAAGATTTTAGGCATGCACATACACAACACAAGTTTTTCAAGCTGTCATAGTTGAGATTCAACAATAGTTGCCATGTAGAAGTCAGCTCCCTTAACCACTTGACTATAGGGCCAGCTCTGTTTCTAATGTATTTCTTCTTAATGTCCAATAAAACACAGTGTTCACATTATTACACATATGTCTTTCTACTACCTGATGAAAATATTAATAAATGTCTTATATGCACCAATATAAATATGGAGCACATTTCTTTACAAGCTGTTGCTCCCTGAGACTTGTACATCTTGGTGGGTTTTTTGTTTCATTTTGTTTGTTTAATTGCTATGCATGCATATTTGTCAGAGAGAGACATAGAGAAAGACAGAAAGAGGGAGAGGGAGAGAAAGCATCTCCAATAGGTCATGGCCATGCTGCAAACCCTTCTCCTCTGTCTCCATCATGTTGGGATTTTGGTCACACACGAAGGATGCTTTTCAAGCCACTGCAGCCACTGACGGGCCGGGCTGTGCGGTCTACCTTAACCACTAGGCCACTGGGCCAGCCCTTCCCTGAGACTTTCAGATCTTTGCTCATTGTATTTATACCTGGTCAGAAATTTTCACTTTGTATTTTTGAAGCTTGATCTCTTTCCTCATCCCAACTGCAATGTATTATTTATTTGTCATGACTGAGTTTCATCTTCTAAATTTCTGATCACTTCTTCTAATCTTTCACATCTAATCCTGTCTTCTAAGGTGCCACTCACCAACACATGCCTGGTTCATTTACTAGATGTCCTTTCTATTTAATTTCTTTTTAAAGTCAAGAAATTTCTTATCCAAGGAAAAGCAATAAAGAAAACTGTCTGATTATGTCATCTCCATTGTTAGTATTTATCCATGCACAGAGACTCTTGGAATTCCATTCTATCATCTGCACATGCAGAATCATGCAGCATTCAAATCTTTGAGAGTTCTATGGAGACAAAACTTTAGTCCAGTCAAGGTGACATGGCTTTAATACTCTGTTTTATGATTCTGGAGTCATATGGAAGACTAGAGTTTGGTTCCCAGGTTAAGCAGTCTACATGTATGTGCACACACGCTCATGATCCTGGCTAGGTGGGAAGGTTGTAGGAAGGATCATGTCATGGAACCCTAATTGAAGGTCCTACTCTCTCTCTCTGTTCTCTCTCTCTCTCTCTCTCTCTCACACACACACACATACACACACACCCACACAAACACACATACAAAACAAGTAAACTGAAATAAATTCATTTAAAGGTTAAAGCTTTGGGAGACGAGCAGATAGTGTAATGGCTATGTTGCTGGACTCCCATTTAGTTGATCGTGGAGCAGATAGTGTAATGGCTATGTTGCTGGACTCCCATTTAGTTGATCGTGGAGCAGATAGTGTAATGGCTATGTTGCTGGACTCCCATTTAGTTGATCGTGGAGCAGATAGTGTAATGGCTATGTTGCTGGACTCCCATTTAGTTGATCGTGGAGCAGATAGTGTAATGGCTATGTTGCTGGACTCCCATTTAGTTGATCGTGGTTGGAGTCGCGGACGCAGTAGCTTAAACTCACACCAGGCGCGTGTGTGTTGTCTTCTGGTGAACACACGCACCTTAAAACAAAAACCTCTAAAAAAAAAAAAAGGGTTAAAGCTTTTGTTTTTCTCCATATGTTCTTCCCAGAAGAGTCAATTCACCTCCCCAGGTATCACTCTGGCTCCTTTGTGGATTGCTGTCTGTGCTTTGTCTTTAGTTTTGCTCTCTCACCTGAGTTCCAACAATCAATGGATGCTTCCACCAGTGTGCTTTTTCATCTCCTCAATATCAACATAAAAAGACAAACTGACCTTCTAGAACCCAATCATTTCTCTAAGTTTACCCTTAACAATCTTCATAAAATTTTGTGTTTTCATTATTCTATTCTAGTCACTAATACCACAGTCTTCACTGTTCTAGGATAGTTCATTTCCACAATTAATTCTTATATTTTCTTATTTGTATCTTTTAGATTTGTCTCGTTACCACATTTTGCTTTCTGTCTTAACTCATCTAGTTTTATTACCTTAAAAGCTGGAATTTTAAAATAACATTTATATAATGAAAATAATAATGGCAGTGACTACTTCATAGGTTTACTTGCAAATCAAACAAAATAAAGTATATTAAGAGCTATTAAGTATTGAAATCATCATATTGTTCTTATTAAAAAGCACTTTTCACTATAAAAGAAAAATGCAAATGAGAAAAACATAAAAATAAAAATCATTTGTAGTCTCATCATCCAGATTTAGACAGGATAGATTTCCTAGCAGACGTTTGACTGTATCTCAAACTGCAGTATAATACTTCATAATCTTATTTATTTATTTTCTGGAGAGCTTTTTCCTATAGGGCACATGCACTCACTGGAGAGACAGAAAGAGAGAAAGTGAGAAATCAAGGCCACACCACAATCCCTTCTCCTCCATTCTCCTCCTGGGATTTTGGGCGTGCTTGTACACACGCTTGGCCACATACCTGTGAGTTTAAAGCCACCAGGTCTGGGACTCAGACTGCAGTTGGCCATGTGGGAGTCCAGCAAAGTAAGCATTACGTGCTATCTGCAGGTCCCCATAATCTTATTTTATTGCAATATGGTCTAGATTAGTTTTCTAAAATTTTTTTCTATATCATGGAATGCATATTTAAAAAACAGTAATTTTCACTTGGGTGAAAGAAAAAGTTGCTTACAGCTTGAGACATTTGAGCTGGAGACCATGGCCACAGTAGACACTCAGTAACTGCAAAAGACATTGATACCTGAGTACCTGGTATACAATTGGGAAGTTCTGTTTAGTTATCTTTTCATGGATTGTCCTACAACATAATTTCTATTGGTTGTATTTATAGTATTCCACTGATGTGCCTTGGTTGATTTAACCAATCCTTGTTACTGGCAATTTGAGTTATTTCAAATTTATTAAGATAGTATGCTGACAAATAATGATGTAATTAAATATGATGATACATCTCCCAATATTTTCTTCATAGTGAAGGGGTACAGAACTTTTAAAAATTTCTGATATACACTGCCTCACTGTCTGCCAGAAAGGCGATTCCCTTTCTAAATTTCAGGCTCTTTCTAAATTCTGCTTATGAGGTGTGAATTTGTCCATACAATCCCAGGGTATAAAACTGTTGATAGCCTCATCAATTTGGAACAGAATGCTGACAGGGGAGCTTTTCTGTCTACACGTGGCTGGACATACCAAGATTATGGGATATGCAAGTGTGAGTCAGATCCTCTACACAGAATGTACAGACTACTCCTGGACTCCTGAGCCCTTGAAAGTTTAGAGAGATAAAAAGGGTTCAGATAGAGGGTGTTGTGAGCTATCACAAGGGCAGTTTGGGGCTCCAAGGAAAGAATTTGGGGTCTCATTCTCACTGGTAAAATAAATAAATAAATAAATAAATAAATAAATAAATAAATAAATCACATACCACGTGCTTGAAAACAAGCAACTAAGCCTGCTGGTATGGCATGGCATCTTAGGATTTCATTTGTTTTTGACCAGTGTCCAAGAACATTAAGTCAGGAATCTGGAGATATGAATCCCAGTTCTGCCTTTACCA